GCGTCTGCCTTCCTCTTCTCGATCCCCTTCTTCTTGTAGAGAGAGAGAGAGAGAGAGAGGGGCCTTTCTCTTTCTCGCCTTTCGATGCTTTCTAGCTTTGAACTTATTGCATGACTGATACATCAGTTGATGAATACATCATGAAGGCTTACATGCCTTTTGGGTGAACGCTTCAACTGCAGAAGACAACAAAATTTGGTGGAATTTGATGCCTTTTCCTCATGCAAATCCAACTTCAGCAACGTTTTTCCATCTTTTTAATTTGTTCTGTAATATTTTAATTTCTATGATTATATATACATGTATAGTTTATTTATGTAGACAAAATTTATACGGAAGCTTAAGATAAAGATACAGAAGGCTAAACTCTCCTTTCTGTTGTCTTACTTGCTCCCCAAGCAAACATGCTCATCTTATTGGGATCCTCAGGCCTCAGCTGCAATCTTTCCTTGCCTCTTCGTTCTTCCGACAGGTGAAGAGCTTCTTCCCATGACGAGCCCATTAAACGTCAATGAGGAGTACAAGAAGACCCTCAGAACGAAATCTTTCGTCGACATGTGCTCCAAAGTCCATCAACAGCTCCGGCGGACCATCTCATCTTCCGAGGACGATGATGGTGATAAGGATGAGGCGAGTCATCGTCCAACCGTATCATACACTAAACACTCCGAGTTCCTTCTCGAGCTCAGTCAAGAATCTGTTGTCGAAGCAGCCACGGCCACCATTGATGGCTGCAGCGCCTACCTCTATCTCCACTCCCTACTCCTCGAGTATTTTGATGTCACATTCAGGGCGTGCACGGCGTGCACTAATGTTTTGGCATCCATCAACCGCGCCAGAGAACGCCACCGGTCGATTCGCCATCTTCTCATCAAACTGTCATCTACTTGTTTATTTGATGGTGATTGCACCGAGTTCGACCGTCTTGCTTCCCTTCTCCAGCTAGATAATCCGCTCCACCCACAGAATCTTGCCAACTTTCAATCTGTGCAGTCCCATTGTAGTCTTCTGATGCAGCAACTGGCAAGAGCTCATCGGGGAATCCTCAGAAGGCTGAGATTTGTCCGGCTAACCAAGAAGGCAACCGGAATCGTAATGATCAGTACATGCAACGTCGCCTTAGTGGTCGCAGTGGTCATCGCGGTGCACACGGTGATCGGTTTCGGAGTCGTGGCGGCGGCAGCTCCGGTGGTGATGGCGACAAGGCCACGGGCGGGGATGAGGTGGGCGAGGACCAAGAGAGCGAGGGATTTGGGAAGGTTGGGCGCGCAGGTGGACGCAGCGGCCAAGGGTGCGTACATCGTGGGGAGGGACTTGGACACGGTGAGCCGAATGGTACGGCGGGTGCAAGACGAGGTGGAGCACGAGCAGGAGGTGGCGAGGATGACGTTGAGGGCCAGGGAGCGGCAGCTCGTGAGGGAGGTGGCCAGGGTGGTGGAAGGCGGGGCGGCGGGTATGGAAGCGCAGATGGAGGAGTTGAAGGAGCATGTCTGCTTGTGCTTGATCACCATCAACAGGAGCAGGAGGATGGTGGCACAGGAGATGATGGAAGGTGGTGCTGAGCCTGCAGTGGCCAACGCAATGGCTTGATTCTGAAGAATTTGTTCTTCATTAGAGATAGCCAATTGAATAATGATTTCAATCATAGAAAATGATTTCCTTTCCGAGTGTTGTGATAGAGTTTGAGCTCTTTCCACCATTACAGCTCGAACATGAGCTCTTTTCGCATGTAACAACTGTACACTTTGAACTCGTCAATACTTGACCTAAGCAATTGATAGCATCAAACCTGAAAGTTACCTGCTAATCAGAGAGCAAGTGAGAGAAGGAAGCATAGGATCAAACTAATAGCTTTTTCCACACTTAAAATATAAAAAACAAGTGATTAAGACCGAGACAAAATCTTTATCAGTTAAACACATATAATTATCTAACAGAATGTAAAAGATGGTGAAAAACAACTTGCTGCAAAATTCTGCCAACACTGAACTCTGAAGAATTGCTACTATGATTGGAGTAAAAAAGGAAAATGGAAACTTTTAGGAGACTAACCATACAAAAGCAACAAGGAGTAAGAAAACAAAAACAATTAACAATTAACAACCATTTGCAACATTGCATTCCTACCTTATACTTTACAACAATTAACAACCTTATTACCAAAAGATAATCCTAGTAAATAACTAAATCAACAAAGTGAGATAGACACTCTTAGGACCAAGCTAGCATATTATGACATAATGTTAAACCAATTACGTGAACAGATGATCCAAATTCTAAGAGCTCTTCAATACCTTGAAAAATGACCCATGAATGAGAAGGCTGATGAGTCAGTTTGGCAATATGTCAATTTTTTACGATCCATAACTTTCAATCAATAAATCCTAGGTCCATCTATAGGGCACTTGTTCACAATCATGCTCTAATAATTCTTAATAATCAAGCTTTTCACCTTAATAATAAATTCCTATAATCTACTAGAAATTCACAAACATGAATAATGAGCCAAGGAGTTCAATTTACTAACAATTTGGGGAAATAACTAGAAGACTTTAATGGTTAGTTTGACCCAAATGAATTTGTTGATGAGTTAGATAGTATGGAAGACTACTTTGAGTAGTATAAAATGATTAATATTGAATGTATACGATTTGTAAAAATAAAACTAATAAGATCGCTAAGAAATATTGGTAACATATCCAACATAGTCTTGAACAAAATGAACTAGAAATTGAAGATGCCTATGTTAATATTGTCTATATTATTATTTCTATGTCTCGTAATTCTAATGAATGGAAAAGGATAAGTATTTTCAAACTTTTATATGAAATAAGAAAAGAACTTACAAGTTAGTTATAGGTAGGGGTAGTACAACGAACATGGTCTTAAAACATGCATTCAAAAGATTAAATTTTAAGTTAGAGTCATATCCGATCCCATTTAAAGTAGTCTGAGTTGACAAAACCGCTTTGCCATGATTGAGAGATGTCTGGTATTAATTAAAATGGGTGATTACCATAATGAGATTTATTGTGACATCCTATAAATAGAAGTAGCCCACATTCTTTTAGATCGACCTTAGTTGTATGACCCTAATGTTACCATGGAAGAGAAAACACCTATGTCATTCGGTATAAAGGTAAAAACATTATCCTATGACTAGTAAAATAATAAATCAGTAACTCCTAAGTCTCTTCTACAAGCCTCAACCACTAAGAGACTCCACTTATTAGATTATAAATATTTTAAAATAGAGAGCTTAGACAATAAAGAAATTCCTAGGCCTTGCACTTGTCAAATTGCCAAAACTCGCAAATACAATACTAGCCTATTCACCCTATTACTCATTCAACATTCACAATGGCAAGATGTGAGTTTCGATTTTGCCTTTTAGACTTTTAAAAATGGCCTATGATCATTACTCTATTCTGATTATTGTTGATAGATTTTTAAAAATAATCCACTTTATCCTATGTAATAAGACAATGATATCTCATACATTGCTAAATTATTTCTTTGATAAAATGATTAAATTACTTGGCTTTTCTCAACATAGGGATGTGAAATTTGTTCGGTATTTTTGAAAAACTTTATAGAAATTATTTGATACAACATTGAATTTCTCTTCAGCCTTTCGCCCTTAGATTAATGATCAAATTGAGGTTGTTAACCATTCTTTAGGACATCATCTTGGATATTTAGTTAGGAAGAAATCGAGAGACTAGGACTTCACCTTACTCCTTGCCTGATCGGAAAAAGACCATTTGAAGTTATCCTCGGCTATACCCCTTATACACCCATTGATCTTGCACTCCTTATGCTTAGCTATTATGCCTCAGAACCAACCCACTCTTTCACTCAATATATTCATAATTTGTATACTAATATTGAACATAAAATTATCTTGATTAATAAAAGTTACAAATTTACATATTGTAGAAGTCAAAAGTTTTAAGTTGATGATTATGTCTTTATTCACATTCGTCATAAGAGATCTTTTAAAAACTTATTCAAAAAGTTACATGTCCAAGCCATTAGTCCTTTTCTAACTATCTAAAAACTAAAATTTAATGCATATTTGCTCGATTTACCTTCTGACTTAAATATTAATTTGGTTTTTAATGTTGAGGATTTAACTTCATAGCATGGTTATTTTTAAGCCATCTACTCTATTTATCGATGTTCGTATATGTAATAATTCTCCCAAAACATTAATTCTCCCGGATCACAAGGATGATACAAAGGTCATTCTTAATGATCACCTTATTATGTATGCTATTAATATTACTTAATACTTTCTTATCAAGTGATATAATCATCCAGCTACAAATACCACTTTGCTTACTTTGGAGGAACTTCATAACTTTACACTAGACTTATTGAAGTAGTACCTTACATATCACTATCTAGGATTGAGTCTTTTTTAATTGGGAAAAAGTGATGGATAACCATTGTGGTTTACAAAAGATTTCAAATAATTTATTCTAGACATAAATATCAACAAAAAAAATCATCAATTAATTAATCTAGAAATTTTAAAAATTATGTTAAAAATTATTTTTTTTGATAATTTCATAAACTCATTTTGTATTAAGTACATAATCATTTACTATTTAGGTATTTTAAAAATCATATTTTAAATTTCTAAAAGACATACAAATGAGATAATTTTTGAAAATTTGTTTTCATTAATTATATCAAGATTTCTAAATCCCTAAGATTTATATTGATAGCAAATCAGCTATTGCGAATCAGTCTACTATAAATGATTAAAGCATATCAATATAAAATTTTATTTTATAAGAGATGAAGTTAAAAATAAAGAAATGGTGCTACTTCATATCAAAACAAGTGAATAAATGGTCGATATACTTATAAAATCTTTTTAAATTTAAAGTATTTTAACAAGTTCGTAAGAAACTTGATACGTTAAATGGAACAAGTTTAAAGGGGATGAATATTAAAATTAAATTTATTAAAGCATAATCAAGTGGTTCATTGTATTAAGGGAGAGGTTCATTGCATCAAGAGGAGAAATAAATTAAATATCTATAGAAGAATAAATCAAACTGATTATTGATTTTTGAAAAAGTTTTTAGAAAAAAGTGATTCATACTAAATATAATTAATATAATGTATCTTTGGAGACTATATAAACCCTTGATTTTAGGTCATGAAACATAAACAGATTTTGCCCTGTCTTATTATATATATATATA